TTCTTCTTCTTCTTCTTCTTCTTCTTCTTCTTCTTCTTCTTCTTCTTCTTCTTCTTCTTCTTCTTCTTCTTCTTCTTCTTCTTCTTCTTCTTCTTCTTCTTCGGAGGCAGTGATCTTGTTGTATAAATTAGCAGAGAGTAATATAAGTGGAAGTATACTCATGTACGGTTTACCTTTAAAATATAAACTTTACTAGAGAAAATTAGAGAAGAGAGTTACATGAGAAGAAATCAAGGGCCAGCTATGCACCAGTGCAAAACACAACACCGCAACCCTAGAGTCAGATTCGACTGGCTTTCGAGCAAGGGAACCTTTACCTTTAGTGGACTCATCCCTAAAATGGTGTCCAGGATGTCCGGAAGCCCCTAAGGAGAGACTTGAGGTTGGGTTCCAAGGTAAAGGGCAGGCGTGCTTGTAGAGTCCCAGGTTCCACTCTTGCAGTCTTGCACGAATGTTGCGGCTGCCTAAAACTCCCTGTTCCACAGGCTGTATTCAAAGCTATGTGATGATTCTTCAGAAGCAATCGATGCGCAGAGAGAGAGCCCCTCCCGTTCATTCCAGTGACACTCCTCCCTCCTTCCTAACCGATGTTTTAATTGGTGTCGTGATGTTTTGTGTGTATCGTTGGTCTGTCTTTAAATTGTTTTAGTGATGTGTGTTTGGGGAGCGGTTGATTTTACTGGTTGTAAAGTGTGATTTTATCACGCATGTTTTAAATTGCTAATTTGCCCGTTCAGTGGCGGTTAGCCGGTTAGCCGGTTGAAGGCAGAAGGGCGAAATACAAATGTTGTATATAAATAATAAAATACATTTGAGAAAGGGAAGGTTATGGTCAATGGTGCCGTAAGAATCATAGAGTCATAGAGTCGGAAGGGGCCGTAGAGACCATCTCGTCCGACCCCCCTGCCCAATGCAGGACCAGCCTAGAGCATCCCTGACGAATATTCGTCCAGCCTCTTCTCAAAAGCTGTCAGTGAAGGGGAGCTCACCACCTCCCTAGGCAGCTGATTCCACCTCTGAACCACTCTGATCGTGAAAAAGCTTTTCCTAATATCCAGCCGATACCTTTCGGCATGTGACTTAAACCCCGTTGCTTCGGGTCCTCTCCTCTGCTGCCAATTGGAACGGCTCCTTGCCCTCCTCCAAACGACAGCCTTTCAAATATTTAAAGAGAGCAATCATGTTCCCCCCCTCAATCTCCCCTTCTCCAAACTAAACATTCCCAAGGCCCTCAGCCTTTCCTCGTAGGGCTCAGTCTCCAGACCCCCTGATCAACCTCGTCGCTCTCCTCTGCACCCTCTCGATTTTGTCCACAAGGCAGGTGTCGACTTCTTTCTCTTACCCATCCCCTGCCAACTTACTGTCTCTTTCACCTGACACCCTGGAACACTGAAAATGAGTACGATACATGCGAATACAATACGTCGCTTACTTTCCAGACCAAGATCAACGAAGACTTCACCGTGAAAGCGACCGGGCAGGGCCAGGCCACCATGACCGTAGTGACCTTGTACAACGCAAAACTCCGCGAGGAGGCTGCTCCCTGCAGGAATTTTGATCTGCGGGTGACCACCAAGCCCGTCCAGCTCCGTAAGTCCCAACGGTGGGCTTTGGGTGGCCAGGAAACCCACATGCTTCCTCTCAAGTCGAACGGCTGCGTAATTCCTGAGGATTTGTAGGAAGGAGAGTTAGCCGCAACTTGACAGCCCTTTTCACACACAAATGTGGGGATGGGGTATCCACACTAGCATTCCTGTACATAGATGCCTTACTAAACTATGGGCGAGGATTGTCAGGGTTCCCAATAACACGTACCGATTTCCCACAGCCGCTGCTCTGCACTCGCTCCTCTCTTTGCCCCGATGGTACATGTCAATTTCCCACTCAAAGCCGCGCGGCCGCATTTTGACCCACGGCTTTGCCTGATTTTGCCCGCGGTTTCGTAATTCTCAAAAAACAAGATCACGAAACCGCGGGGGAAATCGGGCGAAGCCGCGGGTCAAAATGCTGCCATGCGGCTTCGAGTGGGAAATTGACACGTACCATCGGGGCAAAGAGAGGACCGAGCGCAGAGCGACGGCTGTGGGAAACCGGTCTCAGTATCGACAGCCAATCCTTGAGTAAGAAAAGCTTTATTGATCAGAGAGATGGAATGCCACGCAGTCTTAAGTGAGGAATGGGGTATTCAAAATGGATGGCATAGTTATACAGGTTTCGTACACGGCCCCCTGACACCTGAGGGCCAATAAGGTAGCTCAAGGTCAGCTAGATAAGACGTTCAGCAGCTGCGGGGAGGAGAACTTTTTCTATGGCGGGATCACCCGACAAGGATTAAGGTTGCCAACTATGGCTTGGGAAATTCCTGGAGATTTTGGGGTCTGCAGCCTCAGGCGGGCAGGGTTCGGGGAGAAGAGGGGCTTCAGAGAGATATAATGCCACAGAGTCCAGCCCCCAGGGCAGCCATTTTCTCTAGGGGATCTGATCTCTGTCGTCTGGCAATCGGTTGAAGTCCCGGGGATCTCCAGGCCCCACCTGGAGGCTGGCATCCCTCCTTCTAACTTGTACAAGTGAGCACTACCAGCTTCAATAAAGCGTCAGATTGGAAAACGCATATCTGCGGCTTATGAGAACTTCTTTGCAAGAGACACGAAGTGCATAGCTTGTGGACCAGTCCTTTTTTCGCAGACTCTGGTGTCCAGTGACGGCCTCTTCCCAACCGCTTCGCACAGCATGGGTGTTATGCAGAGAGGCTAATCCCTCTCTTTCTCTCAAAACAACTTCTAGGTAAGGCAATAGACGGAGTCCTTGGAGCAGTCGAGATCGAAATCTGCGCCAGGTGAGAACGGTGGGCGTGAAAGGTAACTCTGGGCCATTATGGCAGTTCAGATCACAGAGGGAGAAGCCGCTAGGTTCGAGCTCAGGAGCAGCTCAGAGACCAACAACATTTTCAGGAAATGAGCTTTCGAAAGCTCCCTTCATCAGATACAAGTTGGAATGGAGATCCCTGAGCTCTTATATCCCATTCAGAAGGTGGGAGAAGCAGATGTTTTTAAGAGAGAGGGAGGGAGGGAGGGAGAGAGAGGTGGGAGGGAGAGAGAGGGGGAGGGAGGGAGAGAGAAGGAGGGAGAGAGAGAGCAGGAGAGAGGGGGGAGGGAGGGAGAGAGAGATGGACGCAGATGATCCCTTGTGCCTAAACTCAGGTTCAAGACTTGCCTTGGGAGGGAGAGAGAACCCTGCCCTAAACTCAGGCTGAGAGGGAGGGAGAGAGAAGGAGAGAGGGAGAGGGAGGGAGAGAGAGGGAGGGAGGGAGAGAGGGAGGGGGAGAGGGAGGGAGAGGGAGGGAGAGAGAGAGAGGTTGTAGTTCCTAAACCTGCCCTGCCTTGTGTGCATTTGCCAGTCCCCATGATGCATTTGGCCCACAGTGCTGGAGAAGGAAGGGCATCGGCCTCCCCCCCCACACACTCTGTTTCCCAAGGCAACACAGTCCCGGGGCGCTTTTTGCCCTGTTGTGGGGCTGCTTGTGCTCTGAATAGTGTATCCTGTTGTGTAGCATGGCCCTAGTGGTACGAGGAGGGGATGGAACGAACACCCGTCCCTCTCTGGGCAAAGAAATCCATTCTGAGCGCGTTCCCCCCTCTGTCTCTGACCGCAGGTACCTCCGTGATACCGATGCCACCATGACTATCATCGATGTCTCCATGCTGACGGGTTACGGGCCAGCCACGGAAGACCTAAAGAGGGTAGGTGGGACAATCGTGTACGTCACCAGCCTCTTTCCTGCAAGACAGAACATCTGTTCCCGGCCTGTTCCTCATAGGTGTGGGTCGGCACAACTGTGTTCGCCACCGTCATTTGCACTTTCTTTATTATTTCATGTAGAACCTCAGTGCAGTAGGCCACCTTGCAGTGTTCCATACGCAAGTGTCTTACATCTAATAGTTGAGCGTGTCCCCTCCAGCCCCCAGAATGTACCCTATGTTTTTGCCATTGACTTCAATGGCTCATAGGCTATAATGGGGCTGAAACTGACATTCGGCTGGCAAAGACTCCTGAATGGTCTGGTACTGCCGAAATTGACATGCAGGAGTCTTTATGCCCGTCAAAATTGATTCTGCCTGATTCGGCCGAGTCCGAATGTGGCCGAATTTTTTCTTTTTTTGCACCCCCCTACTGAAACTGCCAACCTAGCAGTTCGAAAGCAAGAAATTGCAAGTAGATAAATAGGGACCACTTCGGTGGGAAGGGAACAGCGTTCTGCGGCTTAGTGTTTAGTCATGCCGGCCACATGACCACAGAAACGTCTTTGGACAGCGCTGGCTCTTCGGCTTTGAAACGGAGATGAGCACCGCAACCCTAGAGTCGGACTCGACTGGCTTTCGAGCAAGGGAAACCTTTACCTTTTACTGAAAAGTACCGTGTTCGATGCGTGGAGGACTCGGACCACGACATGCGTTCAGACGCGCTTATTGTACTTCCCAACAAGACACACAAACCGGCCCTGCAAGGCCAACTATATACACTCCACCCAGCACAGCTCTGTCCCCATTGGAGGGTTTGAATCTCCCGCCAAAGGTGCTATTGGTGGGCTTGAGGTGGACTAGGATCCTAGGTCCCCTTTGTGTTTGGAGACCAAGCGCCTGGTTTAGCCGTGGAGCCTGAGCGGTGGGTGTTGCCTCCTGACACACTTCCGGTGACATCAGGGGGTTTGGCCTATGCAAATGAGTTATGCGAATGAGCTCCTGCGCCTCTTTTTCTACGAAATGACCCCTACCTGGCAGAGAGGCAAAATTCTCTAGGAATCATGTTAGATGTCCAGCTTAATGTGGGGCTTTGGTGGATACAGAACGACAGTAGTGTGATTAGACGTGGCGAACGACTTGTTCTGGGTGGAGATGTGCAAAGCTCTTCTGAGAGACTCCTCTGCTCTTCTCGAATCTCTTGCCTCTTCCCTGATTACGTCCCGGGTGTTTAACTTCCCACTCAGAACTCAGAGCTCTTTCTTTTCCTCTTACATTGGCCGAATCTGCATTTCATTTTTAAAGCAGTCTTGATGCCGTCTTCCTTTATAGTGGTGTGATGCTTTTTTCGATCTGCTATTTTTTTTCCTGCCTGCTGGCCGGGAATGTTGCCAACAAGCCAACAAGCTATAAACTTCTCTTTACATTCAAAGAGTAGGATGTTCTCAGCGTTCAGTTTTGCCCAGCTATTGGTTTAAACAAGAAAGCAAAAATAGCCAAAGAACTGTAAAGACTGGGTGTTTAGTTTGCAGAATGTATGTATGTATGTATGTATGTATGTATGTATGTATGTATGTATGTATGTATGTATGTATGTATGTATGTATGTATGTATGTATGTATGTATGTATGTATGTATGTATGTATGTATGTATGTATGTATGTATGTATGTATGTATGTATGTATGTATGTATGTATGTATGTATGTATGTATGTATGTATGTATGTATGTATGTATGTAGAAGGGATTTTTCTCTAACATTTCAGGCAATATAAAAATCACAAAACAAGATCAAATCATTCACTCTTAGCTTGTCAGGCAAGGGACAAGTTTCGTACATTCCTCTATGTGCCCTCAGAAGGTAAACAGAGCAGATAAGCCTCCGATTAGCACTTTTTTGGGGGGTGGGGGGCTTAGAGTGCTTTTAAGCACATCCATTTGAGCCGGAGAGAAGCCACACAATCATGACGGAGCCGAAACCACAGGGCAATAAAACAGTGCAGACAGCAGAAATGCCAACAGTGCAGTAGAAGAGCAAAACCTAAGGAGACGTGGACATCTTTTTTGGAGGCGGAGCGAGAGTGTAGCCGAAGCAGTGGGAAATACCAATGCAGATTCCACCGTTGTGTTTTGCTGTCTGTGGCTCTGAGGGGCTCCTGAATGGTTGGTTGCTCTCCTGGGCTCTGCAGGGCCTCATGTTTTTGTCCTGTGTTTAGCTTTCCCAAGGTGTGGACAGATACATCTCCAAGTATGAAATCGACACCGTCCAGTCCGAAAGGGGGAACCTCATCATCTATTTGGACAAGGTAAATTGGTTCTTCTGTGACCAGCTGCCCAAGCCCTGGATGAGGCAGGTGGAAACGGGGTCAGGATCCTGCTCTTCTTCTTCTTATCCCCCTTTCCTTCAGAGCACTGGGGCTGCGGGCGTCTGGGCCCCACCTAGTGTGGGGCGTGGGGCAGCCGCTCCTGTCGGCCATTGTCTGAAACTGTCTGTGTTTGTGATGTGACCTACCTAGGGCTGCCGGAAGATGGGATCTGTCAGTCGTCTGGTGGGCCACACTGTATGGCAGGAGGGTCAGGCTTAGTGGGGATCCGCAGGTTTGACAAGTCCAGTCATAGTGCCGTATCAGTCCAGGTGCAGTCAAATTTGGTCGAATCTGCATTTGCGTTTTTAAATTAGTTTTGTGCTTCTGTGACGCCGTCTTTCTCCATGCTTCTTTGAATGTTGTTCGGAGAAGATTCATTTAAAGTGGTGTGGAGGTGCAATAAGAACATAAGAAACGCCAATGCTGGATCAGGCCAATGGCCCATCCCGTCCAACACTGTGTCACACAGTGGCCAGAAATACCAGGGGCCCTCAGGAGGTCCACCAGTGGGGCCAGGACATTAGATGCCCTCATTAGAAGAATGACAATGCAGCCGCCACGAGAGGGTGATAAACATACGCAGACATGCGAAAGTATACCTGCACAACTGAAGTTTGAAAACGAAAGCAAATGTAGACAGTTTTTTTGAAGATGGAGTCAGAAGGCTGGGACACCGGTGGGGAAGACAAATTCAGATTTGACCAAAAGGGAAGTGGTGCTTCCTCCACTCCTGCCACAAACGCCACCCCTCTCCTTCTGACGGCATTAGAAGGAAGGCACCCAGGCCATGGACGTCTCAGACTATTCAGTCCAAACTAGACGAGCCAGTGTGGTGCAGTTGTTAAGATGGTTAATGTGGTCAAAGTGCTGCACTAGGATCTGGGAGGCCCAGGTTTGAATCCCCACTCTTCCATGGAAGCCTGCAGGGTGACCTCGGACCGGTCACACGCTCCCAGCCTAAGCTACTTCACAGGGTTGTTTGTGAGGATAAAGGAGGTGAGAAGAATGGTGTAAACCATTTCAGGTCCCCATTGGGGAGAACGGCAAGGTATAAATGAAGGAAATGGGCAAATAAACAAATAACCCAGAGTTTGCCCGAGAAATGACAGTACACTGTCAACGCAGCAGTGATTTTGGCATTATTTTCCCCCTTCCAGCCAAGCGAGCAGCGGTGAGGGCCGGGCTGCCAGCCAGAGTTCTCCCACTATAGTGGGGGACATGTGAGCCATACGTGCACGTCTGCTGAGGCCTCAACGACTTTGGGTCTCAGGCATCCTAAGGTCGAATGTGCATTTGCATTTTTAAATCAGTTCCGTGCTGCTGTGACGCCGGCTTTCTCTATGCTAGTTTGAAAGTTGTTTGGAGATGATTCATTTAAAGCGGTGGCGGAGGCGCAGTGACAATGGAGCCGCCACGAGAGGGCGATAAACTCATGCGGACAGGCAAAAGTATCCTCGCACCGTTGAAGTGCGAAAACGAAAGCAAATGTAGACAGGTTTGTTTTTTTTAAAGACGGAGTCAGAAGGCTGGGACACCGGTGGGGAAGACAAATGCAGATTCGACCTAAAAAGCCGTCTCTGTCTGGCTCTCTGCCTTCAAAAGCATCTCTGCGGAACAACTTCATCAGGATCACATTGAGAGATGATGTGTCTCCAGTGCAAATCTGGTGGCACACAACAATGTATTCTCTTTCTCCCCCCCTCCCCCATGTCCATCCCAGGTTTCTCATTTGGAGGACGAATGTCTGAAATTCAGAGCTTACAAGTATTTTGAGGCTGGTCTCGTTCAGCCGGGATCCGTCACGGTGTACAGCTATTATTCCCTAGGTAATGGCAATCGCTTCTCTTCCAGTGAGCTCCGCCTGGCAGAAATTAAACTGTATAATAGCAAATTAGCACTTTGCAAAAGGTTTCCAAACCTTTTATTGTCTCCATTTTATGAGTGCAATCCCGTGAAATGAATCCCACACTCCAAAACAGGAGCAAGGGGCAGGGTCGCTAACCTCCAGGGGTTTGCAAAGAGAAAGGACAAAACCCTCCGTATAAATAAACCGCAAAAAGTACTCAGAGCACTAAAGATAATACTCACAAATTATATGCATAATCAGAAATAAACCTACAAAGCAATTGCAATACAAATCTTGAAATCCATACACTGTGCAACAGGAAAGGAGCGAAGTTCACGAGTCACAGAACAAAGGACTCAATTGCGAATTCCAAATTCAAAAGTCCATTCCATACACCAATGGTACTTCAGGCGAGTCGAATACTCTGTTCCTGAAGACGTAAAGTTCTGTTCATACAGCAGCTCAACAAGTTTAGTTCCAGCTGACAGGGCGAACCGCTGTTGTAGCGCCTCGGTTCACCAAAGCTTTATCCAGGATGGAACTGTAACAACTATGAAATGCACATACAATCACAAACTATTTTAACTTTAAAAAAAACAAAACCCAAATGCTGAAAACGACATACTTTAACAAGATCCAAAATTACTGCATAGTAAAACATTTCATGTCACTGTGTTCTTGCAGTGTTCCCTCTAAGCTGAGTTAGTGTGAGCTAGCTCACAGTCTTTTAGCCTCTGGCTCACAAGGATGGTTCCAGAGCAAACTAATTTATGCAGTAGCCAGCTCACAACTTTAATGTTGGTAGCTCAGAAAGTAGATTTTTTGCTCACAGGACTCCACAGCTTAGAGGGAGCATTGGTTATATGCTTAAATGAAGATTGAATCAAACACCATTCTGATACGTCAAACCGCACTCCAGGTATCTCTAATAAACATTCAAATACTTTCTATTAAAAAGACAATGACTCATAACATCCAAAAGTCAACCTACATAAAGTATACCATTAACATAAAGCAAGACAAATCCCACTCCTGATTTAAACCATTAGGGGACATTGTATCCAATCTGAAAATCCATTTCATTTCCTGCTGCAAGAGGACCCTGCCAACATCAACAGAATTAAACATATGAGGTATGTATTTGAAAATTACAAAAAATCTCAGTGCTTCTGGATCATGATTGAAATTTACAAAGTGGTCCACTAAAGGAGCATCTGTCACTTTGTTCTTAATTCTAGAGCGGTGTTCCAGCACCCATGATTTCACAGGTCTAACTGTGAACTCCCTACCTAGAGGAGACCACATGGACAGACTATGGCATATACTGTTCTCTTAGAGGAGCAAGTGGTAGAGCTCTTTAGTATTAATTAGAATCCCGTTCTTGGATGCACAGTTTCTTTTAGCTGTAGACAGAAGGCACACGCTAAACATGTTCCCACATTTGTGGTGACCTACAACTTCAGGGGGATCCTGTCTGGCATTTAAAGCATCAGATCTTATTAAAATATCCTTTATATTTTGAGTGTGTCTGAACCCCACCACTTGTTACTCACAGCCACTCTTATTATACAGGCCAGCGGAGGATAACTCTTGCTGCAAAATGCACTTTCCTGCTGAAAACGAACTGGCCAGTACCCAAGACTACGGCAGTCACAGTTCCCTTAGGAAAATGGCCTGCCCCAGCTAGAGATGTAAAATTTCTGGAAATTTTGAATCTCGGGGGAAAAAACGGTTTTTTTCCGGGTTTTACCGGGGGGAAACAGAAATTTTTGGAAAAATTGGAAAAAAATGCTATATTAGCATTTCTTTTGTCTTTTCTAGATTGAAAGTCATTCTGTTACTTTAGGAACATAAAATATTACTATGGACATTTTTACTTGGCATGAAATTATCACAACTAGCATATTAAAAATATAGAGTATCCAAACAATTATTACAAACAGAATACCCACCCGCATGCAAAAACAAAACTGAAACTTTTTAATTTTCTTCTGACAAAATCACACTTCCTAAAATGCATCTTGTTCTTGCATTGGAGAGTTCACTTTGTAACCTAGGACTTGCTTGTCCTCAGGGCACAGAAATTAGACCAATCTGATACCATATATATATATTTTAGAAATGATTTGGAAAATATTTGAACACCTTGTCTTAAAATATTTTATTCATCATGTTAAAATAAAACGTTCCATAATCAATTTTTTCCCCTTTTCTTTTTTCAATTTTTCCAATTTTTCAGGAAAAAAACAAAAAGGCTTCAGGAAAAAAACGGGGAAAACACTTTTTCTTCAAATTTTTCCGTTTTTTTTCCCGGGCCTTCACATCTCTAGCCCCAGCCTGGGAAACTTGTGCGGCCAAGCCTGCCCCCTTAATGGATTGCCATTGCACCAGGTCCACTGGACGTGTCCGCTAACATCTCTTGGGAGACACAAGTCACCAGCCTTTACAGATATTCCCTGAAGGACTTGAGAGAGTACACAGTCAATGTGGAATTTGGGTGTCTCTTTCTGTTCCTCTGACAAAGGAAGCTTTGACCCAAAACATAATTCCGCCAATATCTTGTCGGTCTCTAACACACTCCAAAGACTCATATCTAGACGTTCGACTGAAGACCAACACAGGTACCCTCTGAGACGATCTTTCTGCTCCTCTCTTCAGATGACCGCTGCACCAAGTTCTATCATCCGTCCCAGGGAAGCGAGCACCTCAATAAGATCTGCCACGGCGACGTCTGTCGGTGCGCGGAAGGTAAGGGTGGGGCAGAGCGGGGAGAGGAAGTAACTGCTTCTGCTGCTCACCAAAGATCCCCAAGGAATTTGTGATCTCCAGTTCTGCAAGGCTGGATCTTTGTGTCTCTGTGGCCTTTCAAGGGGTCTGGAGTTGTTTGTTTTCCAGCTTTGCAAATTGTGCAGTTTGGCTGTTCAGCCTGCTGAAACGAGCAGGACCTTGTGTGCTTTATAGCGCCCACGGTACAATCCTGGAGGTCTGGTTGCACGATGCTGTTAGTTGTTTTGGAATCTCTGTCCAAAGCTGCCCTCTGGCTGCCCCCCCTGCCTCCCCTTGGCTGAGACGGGCTCCGCCTCTGCTGCGCTCAGGGTTCGGGGAACGAACAGCTGGCAACCCCTCTAACATGTCCAGCTCGTGACACCCGGGGGGCTTCCTAAGCGACCACCTGTGCCTTCATGGTCTTCCCCTCTGCTCTCCTCCCAAAGAGAACTGCTTCTTGAACAACCAAAGAGATGAACCCGTCGACCTGCAGGAGCGAGTTCTGGAAGCCTGCAAGCCAGAAGTAGATTACGGTAACTGTACTTGGATTGCGGGGGTTATTGATTTACATTTATTTATTTATTTGTTCCATTTGTAACCCGCCCTCCCCGCGAACAGGCTCAGAGCGGCTTACATTGATCGGTTGCTGTTCAGTGTTCCCTCTAAGCTGAGTTAGTGTGAGCCAGCTGACAATTTTTTAGCCTCCAGCACACAGATTTTTTGTCCTCGCTCAGGAAAGGTGGCTCTGGAGCAAACCGACTGATGTCGGTAGCTCCCAGAGTAGGATTTTTGCTCACAAGACTCCACAGCTTAGAGGGGGCATTGGTTGGTTTGTGTCCAGTAGCCCCCACCCCCTCCTTTGAAAGGTCAGTGGTGGTCAACGCCTCAGCTCACCCGCAGAGTTTGCCTCCTGGGCGGCGGCCTCGTGCCCAGGCTATCTCCATCTGCGCGACCGGGCTGCGGCTGCCCAACTTTTTATCTGTGGCAATCGAGAGTTGCCGGTCTCAAGGAGGGTCAACACCGAAAACACCGTGTTGAAATAATAAACACAATATTCACATGTACTTGTAGCTAAATATATTTGCTTTTTATACACAACATCGACTCTAGTGTATTGTAAACACTTTCAAACTACAACATCACATTTCAAACACTTTCAGACTAAGTTCTATAACACGAAGAGTCCAACTGCCTTCTTCCTGATGGAGGATAAATACCAATGTACAGTTATTTAAACCGAACAATGCAGCAACCTATTGTACATTTCCCAAGTGATGATCCATCAGGTAAAGCTAGCAGGCAGCTTCTATTTCTCACTGTGACGATTCAGCGTAGCCAGCAAGCCTAGTAGATGTATTTTCCCATGAGGTGATTCAGCTAGCAAGCAGGCCTAGCAACACGCCTCCCGGGCATAACCTGCGTGTTTCGAACAAGTCTTCTTCAGGCATATAAATTTTCCTGGAACCACAGCTCTTGAATTTACCCATGCATAAGTCAGACAATGTAAACATGGCTGTTCTGGTTCTCCATGGGAACATCCCAGAAAGTCCTCTCCAATAAAGCACAGCTGCGCTACTGTTGGAGGGGGGCCTGGAGATCTCCCGGAGTTACAAATGATCTCCAGAAAACAGAAATCAGCTCCCCTGCAGAAAATGGGGGCCGATGGAGGGCGGATTCTGTGGGATGATACCCAGCTGAGGGCCTTCCCCTCCCCCAACCCCCCCTCCCCAATGTTCCACTCCAGAATCTCCAGGAGTTCCCCAGCCCAGAGTTGGTGTAGGCCTCTGCAGGCCTCTTGCCTTGACCAGGGTGCCCCAGGATAGCCCGATCTCGTCAGAAGCTAAGCAGGGTCGGTCCTGGTTAGTCGTTGGATGGGAGACCACGGAGGAAGCCCAGGGTTTCTACGCAAACCGCCTTTGATCATAGCTTGCCTCCAAAATCCTTTCCGGGGCTCAATGCTCCCTCTAAGCTGTGGAGTCCTGTGAGCGATTTGGCTACTGCATAAATCAGTTTGCTCCGGAGCCCTCCTTCCTGAGTGTAATATATCCAGTTCTGACCACGTGGCCGGCTTGGGCTCCACGCGGTCCAGCGCAAACGTCGAGCTTCGCTCCAAGAGACAATGGACTATGCAGATACTAGCCCATGCCAATCAGTGGGCTAGGTTCCCATCTGAGAGCCTATGGGACTCTCGGCCACTGTAAATAACCTATTGGGAAGTGGGGGGGTGTTATGGGTGGCGGTTTCACAGGGAATATAAGCCGGCCTGCGAGCCGGGTAAAGTTGTCTTGTTCTTGATCTGATAAAGTACGCTAAGCTGAAATCACTCGTCCGTCTGCGTACTTTTCACTGAGCTAAGACAGAAATGTGTGAGCTGGAGGCTAAAAAACTATAAGCTATGTGTGTGTGTGTGTGTGTGTGTTGGGGGGGGAGAGGTATTTGTGAATTTCCAGCAAGGTGCAGGAGGTTGGAGTAGATGACCTTGCAGTTCCTCCATTAAGCTGGAGGGAACATTTTTTATTTTCTCTAGTTCTAAAGGGGGGGGTAGATGAGCCGGGAGGGTTCCTGCCACCAGGGTGGGGAGAGATCTCTGTTTCGAGAGAGGAGGCCCGTGCATGAACTAATGCCTGCTCTCGGTCTTTGTTTTAAGTGTACAAGGCCAAGCTTATTCGAATTGAAGAAGAAAACGGTTACGACAACTACATGATGGAAGTTCTGGAAGTTATTAAGGAAGGTAAGAATTTCCTTTCTGAAGGGGGGGGGGGCTCAAATTTAAAACTGAGTTCTCCCAGATTAAACACTTAAACACGACACCAAACTGGCTCTCATGGGTACAAGCTTTCGAGATTGAAGCTCCCCCTGGTACCTGACGAAGGTAGCCTTGACCCTCGAAAGCCCGTACCCCCAAAAAAATCTTGTTGATGTCTACAGGACTCGAGTGTAACTGTTCTACTGGCTAGACGTAAGAGATTGCATATGATAAGTATCCTACCTTGGGTAAACCAAGGTGGTTATTAATCTGTGTCCTCGAAGGAGCTGCGGTGGCTCAAGTGGTTAAGACGCTGAACTGCAGGCTGTGGAAGGTCGGTAGGTCAGCAGTTCGAGACCCGAGTGTGCCGCATGACGGAGCGAGCTCCCGTCTCTAGTTCCAGCTCCTGCCAACCTAGCAGTTCGAAAGCAAGAAATTGCAAGTAGATAAATAGGTACTACTTCGGTGGGAAGGGGTGTTCCGTGCGCCTTGGTGTTTAGTCATGCCGGCCACATGACCACGGAAACATCTTCAGACAGCGCTGGCTCTTCGGCTTTGAAACAGAGATGAGCACCACAACCCTAGAGCCGGACTCGACTGGCTTTCGAGTAAGCGAACCTTTACCTTTACCTTTTACCTCGAAGATTAAAGACCATTGTTACCATACAGATTTTAACAAAGTAGTAACAGGATGGTAACAGGCTTTATTCTCCATCTCATGGATTAAAGTGGTCCCCCCCAGTAATTAATTCAGTTTAGCGTTAGTTGATTGATCTGCCAATTACGGTGATTCAGGCTCACAGCCGTAAGGAAAGAGTTTCTGAATGTTTTCCTCTGAATCCCCCAGGGAGTGACGTCAACCCGCAAGCCAGGCTCCGCAAGTTTATCAGCCACATGAAATGCAGGGAGTCTCTGCAGCTGCAGGTGAACACGGATTACCTGGTCTCAGGCCACAGGAAAGACCTGTGGCCCACCAAAAACGAGTACGTATTTTATTCCTTTCTTGGATTTATATCTGGCTCCCCCCATGTTGACTCCCAAAGCACCTAATTAAATTGTTCCACTGAGATTGTTGAGAACAGCCAATTGGCCAGGAAGACGAGCACAAGATGAAAAGTGGCCCGTCACTGTCCAGAGTTTTCAGGGGCCTGTGGAGGACTCTTCTCTGCCATGTCCTGATGGCATACACAGAACGGGGCAAACCCCAGAGCCAGAGGTCATTTCGGGGGGGATCGCAGGGGATCGCAGTTCCCCCGGGTGAGGTGTGGGGGCGGGGCACACAACGAAGCCCCACTCCCTGCTTCCGGCCGCCCCGCTTCCAGCCCTCATTCAGCCAGGAGGAGGCAGGAGAAGAGGGAGGGTAAGTTGCTTCCTCCCCGCCTCTCCCCACCCCTGCCTGCCTGGGGCCAGGGAGGGCCTTGGTGGGGCTTCCTCGCACTCCCGCCGGCCTTGCAGGTCCACCGCCGGGCCTTATGATATCAGGGGGTGTGGCATATGCTAATGAGTTATGCTAATAAATTCCCCTAGCTCTTTTTCTACGAAACGACCCCTGCCCAGAGCAAAGACCGTGGTTCCGAGAGGGATGTAACTATCACCACCTCTGTGGTTGCAGGAATGGACAAATACGCCTCCCCTCTTGCCGTTGCCATGAGTATCTTAGCAGTCCAAAGTTCCATTTCGATAGCTGGAGCAGGACACGGAAGCCCCAAAATTATGCCACTGCCTGGCTGAACTACGTTGCACATTTTAAAAATGAATTGGATTAGGAATTTCTTGATGCAACTCTCACTTGACTCGCTCAGATGGCAGTTGCTTCAGGGGACAAATTTGGATCGGGACTGCAGTTCCAGGGGACAAGGGGCATCAGAAAAACATCACCATGAGGGATGCCCTTCCAGCCCACTGAGTGGACAGAGAGTCGAGTCACGGAAACTGGGACCCGACTTAATTTTTTTTTTTAAGTAACCTCTCATTCAGCCCTTAGAGATCAGTGTTAATCAGAAATAGGGATGCCCGCCTCCAGGTGGAGCCTGGGGATCACCCGCAATTACAGCTCATCTCCAGCCGACAGAGATCAGTCCCCCTGGAAGAAATGGCTGCTTTGGGGGGGGGACTCTGTGGCATTGCGCCCCACTGCGGTTCAGGGATGCCGGCCTCCAGGTGGGGCCTGGGGATCCCCTGGAATTCCAGCTCATCTCCAGACTGCAGAGATCAGTTCCCCTGGAGGAAACGGCTGCTTTGGAGGGGGGACTCTGTGGTCTTGTGCCCCACTGGGGTTCAGGGATGCCAGCCTCCAGGTGGGGCCTGGGGATCCCCTGGAATTCCAGCTCATCCCCAGACTGCAGAGATCAGTTCCCCTGGAGGAAACGGCTGCTTTGGGGGGGGGACTCTGTGGCATTGTGCCCCACTGCGGTTCAGGGTTGCCAGCCTCCAGGTGGGGCCTGGGGATCCCCCGGAATTCCAGCTCATCCCCAGACTGCAGAGATCAGTTCCCCTGAAGGAAACAGCTGCCTTGGGTGGTGGACTGTATGACACTGTACCCCACTGAGGTCTCATTCCTCCCCGGGATCCATCCCCAAGTCTCCAGCAGTTTCCCAACCTCCATCCGGCAACCCCACCCCACCACCCCCACCAGTGGCCCTGGGGATCTGGCAAGCCTGGTCAGAAACAATTTTTGGGCATTCTACCTTTTATGTGTGTCCCCCCAGTTCCCCCTGGCTTGCTTCTTTCTCTCTGCGTGCTTTGAACAAATGTTCAGAAACGGGATCTGAGCCCCAAGGAACTCTTTTTGAGGCTAATTCCCCCCCCCCTCACCAGCTTGCTCCGCTCATGCCCCTTAACGAAGGGAAATGTTGAGGAGGGGGAGACATTTGCCTTGCTGGAGACAAGGAACTTGGTCCAGTTCTCCCTCCTGGGCACAGGAGGGACTTTCTCTATTACACACATCCGGGTGGCTGAAACTCAGGTCTCCCCTGGAGTAGTCACTGAAGGCCACAAGCAGTTAATACCTCATGGGTGGGAATTCTGCCTAAGAGCAGAACATTCTAGAGGGACTGGGCATCGTGGGTCATGAAATTGCATGGATCCTGTATGGATTTCTGCCCCTCGAGCCTATCCAGGAATGAGGGGGAAGCCGATACTTTTTCAATTAATTAAACAACAACCCAGAGAGGTAGGCTACCCTCTCTAGATTCAGAACAATATGCCACCAGAGTCTCTACAATAATCTATAGTCCCCTCCAGCTCAGAGCAGAGACTCAAATCTCTGAGCTGGCATGTAGCAACTCTAGCTCAGGATTGCACGCTTTACACTTAATGCTCAATGGTAGCGTGTAGCCAGCCAGGCACAGGGAAATAGACTTGGAATCCCAGTTACAACATCAAAGTCCAGTTAGAACCCAGAATAAGTTTATTCAATACAGAACTTAGCATAGACTAGAAAGATTTCAAAACAAGAAAGGCTAGGGCAGTTTGCCTTAACTAAACATTAATGCTTCACATTTACCAAGTCAGGAGCAATTATCAGTCCAGAACAGTCCATTGTGATAATCCAGTAGCACCAAGGGATTTTTAGCAGGAATCCCATCTTGTGCAAGCATGTGCTCAGCTCACCAAGCAATCCTTTCACCAAGCAATTCTCCAACAGACCACATGTCCAGGTGCAATAAAACAAGGGAGCAGAGAGCTCATGAACAGGAACAAGAACAGAACACAAGAGCAGTAGGGAGAGAATGTCTCCCATAGGGAATGACCAGTTATAGGCCCATTCCAGTCCCAATCAGCTGTGGCTATTCAGCCAATTGCGAGTGGACTCATGATTAGCCGTGGCCATGCAGCCAATCGGGAGCAGATAGGGGATGTACCCAATTATTGGTTGTCATGGGGACATGTGTGGATAGGCCAGAAGTTTGGAGACCATGCCTGCAAGCAATTGACCTACTTTCCAGGTACCTCATGGCTACGTGCCTACACTCATGTATGGCCTAGCTTCTAGCATGGGAGTGTGAAGAATGTGGGTTTATGGCATGGCATATTGAGGCCATCTGGGCCTCACCATTTGGCTGGTAACAGGAAATAAGGCACAGAAGACAGAACAGGAGAAGGCAGAAGGCTTTTAGAAATCAATATTTCTATACAGATCCTATCCTCCCTTACACTTGATTCCATGTCTCCAGAGAAATGCAGACCATTTTCAGGCACACGGCTGAGTTTCCTAGCGAGTTTATATGATAACGTGCATGGCTCATCTCTTCCGGGGATAGGCTTCTTTATCAGTTCTTTGGTCTTTTATCCCTTTATCGTCACAGCAGACACATTGTCTTGGGCACACGCACACTAAGGAGTTCAGCTTAGCTGTGGGTCTCGCAGTCTAGCTTAGAACTACCAATCTTAGGGTTACGGTGAGGGCCAGGGTTAGGGTCCAGGTTATAGCCTGGGGTTCTCCTGGAACGAGGGAGGCCTTGGGTTGCAACTGCAATGTGCCGAGAGTGCATGTGCCCCTTGTACGTGCCATGCAGTCTCTGCCCATTCCTTTCCGGGGTCCCAATGAGCCACGTGACCAGCAGTGTTCCCTCTAAGCTGCGCTTGTGAGCAGTTGCTCATTAACACAGGAAGCCCCGCTCAGCAGCAATCTGGAGCTGCACAGGGTCTCGCAGTGCCCATTGACCATTTTAAGATCACGGCAGTTGTGTTCTGCTCAGGATGTGAACTGCTCTGCTCAGTTGGGGGAATGAGAGGGAGCACTGATGACCAGCAGAGCAAAGGCGTGAAAGGCTCAATTCCCCTCCTCCCTTTTCCAGTGTCAACTACCTCATCAGCAAGGACACGTGGATCGAGAGGTGGCCAAGTGACGACGAATGCCAGGAGGATGAGTTCCAAAACCTGTGCAACGACTTCCTCGAGTTCTCCAACAGACTCAGCATTTTCGGCTGTGACAACTAACAGCGGAGACGTCGTCCGCGACAACTGCGTGAAGGCGGGACTGAGCCGACGATGCAGAGAAGACACCTCCCAGCCCAGCTCTCCTGTTGTGCCCCCCACCTTGTTTTTATATATGCATTTGTAGAAAGAAAAATAAAGAACAGATTTCTGACTGTGATGGCGTGTGAGTCGTTCATCCCAACTCCTCCCCGTTTTAAAGGTGGCTTCAGGATTCAAGCAGAAAGGGTTCCCATTTGCGTCAGGGCACCTGTAGCCGATTGTAGCCCTCGCAGCCCATGCTTGGCTGGATTGGTGGGTGAAAACTGGGTCCAAAGGACGGGGGCACGATCATTCTCAACAGAAAGATTAAAAAGAAAAAATAGATCTCAGCTACATACAGAAAGGAGCTGTGGTGGCTCAAGTGGTTAAGACGCTGAACTGCAGGCTCTGTGGAAGTTCGGTAGTTCAGCAGTTCGAGACCCGAGTTGCCGCATTACGGAGTGAGCTCCCGTCTCTAGTTCCAGCTCCTGCCAACCTAGCAGTTCGAAAGCAAGAAACTGCAAGTAGATAAATAGGTACCACTTTGGTGGGAAGGGAACAGCGTTCCGTGCACCTTGGTGTTTAGTCATGCCGGCCACATGACCACAGCAACGTCTTCGGACAACGCTGGCTCGTCGGCTTTGAAACGGAGATGAGCACCGCAACCCTAGAGTCGGATTCGACTGGCTTTCGAGCAAGGGAGACCTTTACCTTTACATACAGAAAGTTCTGACCACAGATGATTCATACAGCTACCTGGAAGCGACAAGGATAGTTCTAGCACTCGTCAGAAACGTTGTGGTCATCTTACTATAATTCGATAATTTCCGTAATTCGATTATTCATGATGTAGTTGCAAAACAAAAGCGTCTTTTCATTCATATACACAAATACCCACAGAATAAGGAAATTACGCTGAAAAGTCTGGGCCTGAATCTGCACCTGCTGTGTAATGCAGTTTCGGTCTGCTGTGGCACCATTCTATACGGTTCCCCCTTTGCCTCCCATTTTGGCTCGGGGTAAAAGCCAGCTGTCTGCATCAGACCTCACCATGGCAACCACGGGGGCACACGAGGGAGTGTGTGTGCCAGAGGGGGGAGGCCTCCCAAGGTTAGGGCACTGAGCTGCAGGGAGGAAATGGTACCTGCAAAAAAAAACCCAGCAGAAAGTAAAGGGGTGACCTGGTGGGGGGCAGAGGGGGGCTGGAAAGTGAACACGCTGGGTAAGAAACACAAAATACTCGGCGGTTGCCAGGCAGGGTATTTTGGGTACTGCCCCATGGTTCAGGGGTGGGTGTGCTTCTAACCCATCAGCAAAAAAATATGATCGCAGGAAAATGTTCACTGGCTGCTTTTACAACCGGGGGTGGGGGGGTGGGGGGGAGAATTCAGCTCCGGTTGTCTGCTTATTGCTCACAGCGGCTCGAGGGCAGGGAGGAGCAATCGGACCGGCTTAAAACCAAATCCAGATAACGCGGTGAGACGCTGTAGTGACTTCGGAGTTGCCACTAGGGGGCAGTAAAATGGTACAGACAGCCGATGCTGAGACGAAACAATAGGAGAATGGATGCAAGATGAGATGCAGGCAGAAGTTTATGGAATGATGTGGGACCAGCAGCACAGTGGCTGGAAAGACCGATGCAGAATGGATATGGGTCTTTTCAGCTTGTAAAAGAGATAGCTAAGTGGGGACATGATGGAGTTTATAAAATTACGCGTAGGGTGGAGAAAGTCGACAAAGAGAAATTCTACTGACGCTAATGGGCAATAGGTTTGAGACGGTGAAAAGAAGATACTTCTTTACACAGAGAATGATTAAAATGTGAGAGGGCCACCTCCAGAGGCAGCAGATTCTACTGTTGCACAACTCTCAACTGTAAAACAGTTTCTTCCTAATGTCCAGCCGGTACCTTCCCACCCTTAATTTAAACCCATGATTGCGAGTCCTCTCCTCTGCTGCCAACAGGACCATCTCCCTGCCCTCCTCTAAGTGATGGCTCTCCAAAGACTTCAAGAGAGCCATCCTGTCCCCCCCTCTACCTCCTCTTCTCCAGACTCAACATTCCCAAGTCCCTCAGGTTTTCCTCATAGGGCATGGTCTCCAGGCCCCCAATCATCCTTGTCGCTCTCCTCTGCATCTGCTCTGTCCTGTCCACATCCTTTTTGAAGTGAGGCCTCCAAAACTGCACACAATACTCCATGTGTGTGGCCTGATCAATGCAGTGCACAGCGGGACGATGACATCTTGCAATCTGGATGTGATGCCCCTTTTTTGTCGCCGCATCACACTGGCTGCTCATATTTAACTTACAGTCCACCCGTACCCCAAAATCTCGTTCACACACACTGCTACTCAGAAGTGTATTTCCATCCAGTATGCGTGTTCCTCATTTTTGTTACCCAGATGTAGAACTCGGCCCTTATCCTGGTTAAATTGCCTCTTGTTCACATCTGCCCACTTTTCCAGTGTGTTCAGATCTCACTGAATTCTGTGTCTTCTGATGTGTTTTCTGTTCCTCCCAATTTGGTGCCATCTTCAGATTTAATGAGTAGCCCCTCCACACCCTTATCCAGATCATTTGTAAAAAAAAAAATGAAAAGTATCGGGCCCAGAACCGAGCCCCCTGGCACCCCACTGGACACCTTCCTCCATTCAAATGAAATGCCAGACAACTACTCTCTGAGTGCGGTTCTCCAACCAGTTCCCCGTCCACCTCACTATCCTAGGATCCCGTCCACACTCCTCTAGTTTACCCATCAGAACATCATGGAAAAACCCTGTCAAAAGCTTTACTGAAATCCGAGTAAACAATATCAACAGCATTCCCTTGATCCAGTAAGCTTGTTACTCAACCAAAGAAGGAAATGAGTTTGGTCTGAACAAATTCATTCTAACTTTCCTGTATCACCAAGTTGTCCTTTAGATGCTCACAGACTGATCCCTTTAGAATCTGCTCCCGTATCTTCCCTGGGTCAGTGGTCAGACTGACTGGCCTGTAGTTTCCTGGGTCATCCCTCCTCCCTTTTTTGAAAAATGGAATACACCTGCCCTCCTCCAGCCTTGTGGCACGTCTCCCGTCCTCCAAGTGGTCTGGAAGAGGATGGACAAAGGCTCCGCAAGCTCTCTAGACAGTTCTTTGAGCACTCTTGAGTGCACACCATCTGGCCCGGGGGATCTTTAGGACCTCCTCTCTCGTCACCTCAATCTGACTCAGGTCTTTCAACACCCCTCCTGAAATCAGTGGTTCTGGAGTGGGCAAGCACTTCTCATCTTCCAGAGTGAAGACGGAGGCAAAAAATGCATTTAGCTTCTCAGCCATTTCCCTATCATCCTTCAATACTCCTTTTACCCGTTGGTCGTCCAAGGGCCCCACTGCCTCCCTGGCTGGTTTCCTGTTTCTCACATATCTGAAGAAGATTTCCGTGTTGTTGTGAGCCTCCCTGGCCAGCTTTAGCTCACTGTGACCTTTGGCCTCCCGGATGGCTGAACAGGGCCTGGCAAAACACAAATACTCCTCTTTACAGGTGTGTCCTTGCCTCCATTTCTTGAACATTTCCCTTGTCTCCCGTAGCACATCACGCAGTTGTCTGTTCATCCACACTGGATTCTTGGATCCCCTTTAAATACAAAAGTGATAACACAGTATAGTATATAACAACAACAACAAAAACCCACAGTATGAATAATGCAATCAAAGGCACTATGCTGAAGTGCAAAAGAACAAAGAATATTTATATAACACAAGTGTGTACAAACAGATACAATATAGTGTATACATATGACATACGACGACACAGAGTGTACAAAAGAAGCCGGCACACAGGACACAGGACGAAGTTTCCGGATTCCAATCTTCGTTCCATTGATACTTTTTCAGTTGTACCATACAGCGTCATATAGTGCTCAATATGTAGAAGCCTTCATGTTATTATGCAGGGGAAAATATCCACAATTCATATCAAACTAGTTTAAGCAGGGGCAACCAGTCATCCGTAGAAAAACATTCTTACATTGTCACTGAAGAAGTATCAACTGAAAAAGTATCAATGAAACTTCTTTGCCACGCTCCAGCATGGCCGCGTGATCGCCAGCGAACAGCCTAAGCATGAAGCCTCGGGGGACCGTGTGATCGGGCTACCACGCTTTATTTTGCTCCCCCCCACGTTATTCTTTGTTCTTTTGCACTTCAGCATAGTGCCTTTGACTGCGTTATTTATAGAGTGCTTTTTTGGGGGGTTCTTGGAACCCCTGCCATGTTTCCTTCTTGTTGGAATAGCGACGGCTTGAGCTTGCAAGAGCTCTTGCTTTAGGAGAGCCCGCCCTCCACTTGCTCCCTTCCCTTCCAGCAGTCTTGCCCATGGAATGATTCCCATCATGCCCCTGAGTTTATTAAGAGCTGCCTTACTGAAATCTACCCTACACGTGTGGTCAGGGCTTTTGTTGTAGAAAAAGCCCAGCAGGAACTCATTAGCATAATAGGCCACACCCAACAGCAGAAACCCATTAGCATATTAGGCCACACCCTGACAGCACAGCTCATTAGCACATTAGGCCACACCCCATGGCTTGCCCAGGCGCCCCCGTGCAGGGCATCTTCCAGGGGGCCCCCTGGCCCACCCGCCTTGGAGTCCGGGGGGGGGGTTTAGCTCTCCAGGCCTTTCCTCTGTAGCCATGCACACAGAGGTTTTGGCTATAGTGGCCGTGGCCCACTCTGAAGCCAGCCGAAACTCCGTTCCTGTGCGTTCCTGCCCAAAAATAGCCCTGCGTGTGGGTATGAACTTCCTTGGCCCCCCCACAGCCAAAGGAATTCTAGCAGGACACGGTCACTTCCCCCTAAGGCCCCCACCACCTTCACCCTGTCTACCATCTCTTGCCTGTTGGTCAATATTAAGTCGAGTGTGGCTGAGCCCCCCCTAGATTCCTCCACCATTTGATGGAGGAAGCAGTGGCTGCCGGTGGGGGGACTCCCATTTCTTCCTGAAGTTCTTCCCGCCGAAGTGCCGTCATCGTGTTTCCGGCATTGGGGGCAATGTTCTTGGTTTTGGGCAAAACTCTATGACTTTTTTGGCCTCAAAACCATAGAGTTTTGCCCTAGAGCATTGCCCTTGACATCAGAAGAAGAAGAGAAGAGATTGGATT